TGACATTCCAGTGACTGGCATGATTGAGACACAGACAACTCTTAACTCTCAATAGCTTTTGGTTGACAAATTCTACTGCCCCAAATTCCTCTTTCATTTCTGCAACTGAGGTTCTTCATGTTTTAATTTTTTAAAAAAATCCTATTTATTGTCAATGTTATTGATTGCCACAGAGGTAACAAACAGTGAGTGAGTCAATATGTAAATACTTTTTAATTTTTTTGTCTTTGTAGTGGCCAGATTACAGCAAAGACATGAAAAAAAAGTTAATTTCATTGAAATAAGCATATTGATGTTATATTATCAAACTTTGTTGTGATATTTCTGGAATTATCATATCAAGAAACTTCTTAAAGGCTACAAGATGCAGCAGTTTAATGATTGTGGATAGGCTTGTGCTTAAAAACACTTGTTTGAAAGGGTGAAGTACATATGCTTTGTTCACAGGATGTCTTCATTGAATACATGAGCAGACCGTATGATAGTTGTATTTATTGCTTAAATTAATTAATTTCTTTATAGTAAATATATTTAGTAATGAACTCACGACTCTTGAAAAGAGGAAGTCTTGCTCATCTGACAGACGTCTATCATGTACTTGTGTGCTGCTGTATTGGGCCTGTATTAAAAGCTCACGCTGTAATGACTGTCAAAGCAGAAAAGTATAAATTTGCCAAAATAGACAACTACAAGATAAAAAATCCACCAGCCCAAAAATTTCAGAAGTGCAGCTTCTGTTGATGAAAGAATCTTCCAGTTCCCTTTGACAATACTTTAGATTATGCTCACCTCCTCATCCCCCCAGTCTAACTAAAATTTTGCCTAAAAATTTTTATTTCTGCCTAATTTTATTTTTGAGCCTTTGAGAGCAGCAAGTAGTGGGTAAAGGACAGGACTGATCTTTTTTTTCAGACCTGTTTAATGTTAAGGTGTGAAAATACACTCTTTTTGAGAGAAAGCTCAACGAAACACAGTTAAACCCCTCGGATATTAAATAATTAACAACTGTTTAAACAGCAGAATATCTCACATTTATGCAACATGATTTGTTCTACAGGCAATGGGAACTTTGGGGCAAATTTTCTGGTACTTTTTTCCTGTTGTATTTGGGACAAAGTGAGAGCACAGTGGAAAAGAGGCCAGGTCTCTAAGAAAAAGTCACATTTACTACTTCAGGACATGTTTTATGTAGAAGTTGCTACTGCCTATTCTATGAGAGCTGAGCAATTTCTTTTCCAAGTGACATCTAAGTATATTTGGGGTCTGGTTTGTCTTCTAAAAATCTACCATGTGATTTTGCCACTTTATTTCCTTTATGTAAAATGAACATCAAGGCCATTCTTGTCAAGTCTGTTTTTAGCACAAAACCCCCAATAGAATGCATCTGGTAGTGAGAGCTGATGTGGAGAAAGTATGTATATATGAGGAGCTGCAACAGCATGGAGATCCCTGCCAGCTAATGGAAGTGTGTATTTTAAGTGGGATAGTGTTCCTAGAATAAGTTGGATCCCAGTGGAAAAAGGCCTTTAGAGATGAGAAGGCAACCAGGTAAAATAACACTTGAATTGTACTTCCCATGAAATTTTTATGTGGTGTGTTTGTCTTGAACCTGTTAAAGATAATGGCATGTGCTGATGTATTTTCGGGTAACAGTAAGGATAGCTCCATGCCTCCCCTTTCCCATAGATATGGGCAGATTTTTCCTTGGGTGCTAAGGTGTTTTGGTAAAGATATGTAAAGATAAAAGTACAGGCTTGTAAGCTGTGAAGTGGGAAAGGATTCTATGCCAGAAGAAATCAATTAAAGTGAGCCTGCAAAGTTTGTTGCCCTAGGTCTTCTCTTGTCCTGGCTCAGACACCTTCAGTGGCAAACTTGGAAAGCTATTACAGAGGTGGAAGCTGCCTTGCATGAAATATAACTCACCATTTCAAAGTCTCCCTGAATCCTGCTTTCCTGCATGTAGAAATCTTGTTCTGCTGTGGGTCAGTCAGGGATGAAACACAAGAAGCTCAGTAGTCTCAGGGATATAATTTTGGTCTGTAGTCAGATGTCTTTCTTCTTTAAAACTTACAAGTGAAGGTCTCCTAGGGAGCCTTATCAAGCAATGCAGATCTCTCCAAGCAATGAAAATGTTCAAAGTTCCATTTGTTAAGCAGAAATGTTATCAGCACACAAACGGCTTTATTTTGAACAAAGGAGTTCTAGCCTCATTACTAAACTATTCACCTTCAAACAGTGATTTGTTAATACTAAAAAAAAAAAGACATTAAACAAACAAGTAGAATGTCCTAGTTTGGCATTTGGAAATGTTTAAATTAAGTCTAATAGTTAATTATAGAAGCTTCATGAGGTACTTATTAATCAGGGTTTGTTAGAGACTAGCCAGTATTTTTACTGAAATGGCTACTGGTGCTGTTAGATGATATTTGAGGTAATGCATGCACACACAAAATTACATGAACAACAGCTTCTTAATTAGTTTCCAACAAAAATAAGTGGTAAGCTGTATCATTACAATCAGTACCAGCTTTTAGCCCTAAGCATGACAATTTTTACACTTTATGAAAACATGACTTTTCTTATTACTAAAGTTTCCATTCTTGACTAATATGCACCTCCTTTGGAGCAATTCCTTGCTGGACTTACTGCTAGTGATGCACAAAAAAGAGGCAGCACATTCTGCTAATTTTCACAACTTGAGCTACAGTAGGGAACCTTAACATTTATAGCTATTTTAGATTCATACACTTGGACAATGATAAAGGGACAAAGACCAGCTTTTAAAATCTTGATAAAATTGTTGCTAAAGCTGTGAAAAGCCAGACAGTTTGCCCTCTCTGTAATAGCTTCCAGAATTCTTCAACTAAATAATAGAAGTAGATAAAACATTGTTGGTCACAGGAGACCTGTAAATAGGGAATCAGAAAGCTGGCCATGTCAAAACTAAAATTTGAAACTAGCAATGGTGAAGTAGAAAAGATGCCTCTTTACTTTCTTTCAAAATTGTTATTATAAAAAATTGCAGGTTGTTTCAGTGTTGTTTTCAGTGTGGTAGTTTTTTAACTTGTAGAATGGAAGGAAGCCTCTGTGTTACTGAACTATTTTTTTATATGGTCATTTGAAATTCACTTGTAAGGCTTGAATGGCTTGATATTTGGATATATGTAGTACTATCTTCTTAAGTCCTTTGAGTTTGAAAAACAGTTCTATGATAACTGAGTCAGAGTTGTGCAAAAATTGTCAGAAAAAAGGGAAAAGGGATCTTCACTAGTGAAGGCTGTGTTGGCAACCAGGAGGCCTCAAAGTTGGACTGTGTGGTTCAGAGACAAATCATGCTTTGTTTATGGCTATTATTAGCCTGCTTTTTAACACTGAGTTACTAATGTGTACATTTAAAAAAAATACACTGGCAATATTTATCTGAAAACATGAGCATTTATTTTTGTGAAATACTTCTGGAACTTCAGGAAAGACACAAGGCAGAATGTTAATATCTCTTAATCTGCTTTTCAATATCCATCAGCAAATGTTATTCCCAGCTCCCTAGTTCCTAGTTAGTTTTATAGGTTTCCTTCCATTTTCTGTCATCTTCTGTGACAGAGAATAACTTGTCTGTATTTCCTAAATAGTGTTTTATGTCTAAAGCTTTAGATGTCCACCTTCTTTCATTGGAATGAAATGCCTATGGCAGAGAGCTAAGATAACTTGGTAGATGCTTTTAGGATCAATGTCAATAAGCTTTCATATTGCCTATAAACATTTATTGTGACTTCACACACAGTAGCATCACCAGATGCCTCAACAGATTGACATTGTCACAATATTTTTCTTTGTGTGGATGGTGATTTTCCTAAAGATTTCTAAATGTTAATCAGCCAAATATAAATGCATAGAACAGAAAATCAAAATGATAGGCCAAATAATATTAATGTCAAAGCTTGCTTGTGAACTCCTGTGTTTGCATTCCATGGAGATTCTCCCTATGTATTAGGAAAAAGCATAGTTAAAGATTAAAATAATCCTAATACTTAACTGCAATGTATTATTTTTTAAAAAGGAAAAAGGAAAGGGATAAAAAGAAAACCTGAACAAGCAGTTATAATCTCTTACTTATGACTCCCTATGGAGATCTTTAAATAAGATTATGTATTTAGAGTGCATCCTCATCTGGTGTGAGCATCCTTCGCCAAATAACAGAAAGCTGAATTATATTATTACCCAAAACTAAATAGTCAAGTAACTTTTAGGCTACAGAGTCAAATTTTTGCCTTATGTTGTTCATAACCATAATATTAACAGTTTAGAGATACCTAATCCTATAAAATCATAGTTTGTATATGTAAAAGGAGTTAAAGAAGGACAGGTCTTGAGAAAGATGAGTTAATCACCATTGCATTTATGTTAAAGCCAGCTGTTGCCTTGTTTACTTACACTTGATGGTTTCTTTAAGATTCAGCTATTTTCAACAGGAGTAGTTTTTTGCATTAGTGGAATGTTTCTAATTATCACAAGAAAATGAAAACTAACTTTGCATGCAGATAATAAAAGTTTGCAAGAATTTTTCAACATTGTGTAATTTGTTTCCCCAGCTTTATTTTTGAAAAAAAAACAAACCACCAAAAACCAAAATCACAATAAAACCCAAAAATTCCAACAACATGCTGTGTCCTTTAAAACTTTCCTAAAAGCCTTTCAGCTTGAAATAAGACCTAGCAGAGTAAATAGTAGCCAAGAGTTTTGGCAAATATGTACACAATCTATAGTATGACTGCATAATTGAAGACACGAGGGGGCCTGTATTACAGTCTTTACATGCATATGTCTCTGTGTATCTTAAGGTATTTAGAAGAAAATACTTATTCCTTAGTGAGGAATTAATTACGTTGAACTTAATGTTGTTAAGAGATTTGGTCTTTTCCATCTGCAATTCTGTGCTGTGATACCTTGAAAATTACAAATACTATGCATTTGTGTTTGGACACTTAATATTTTTCTTTCAGTTAACTGATACAAGCTGCATCCAACGGCCCTTTTCTATTTTACCAGTTAAAACAAAATGGAACAATGCAAACTTTCATATTCTCTTATTTGATCTGGAAAAACTTGAAGAACTTCTGCTGTCATCTCAACTCAATGGATTAAAGTCATCAAAATCATTCCACAACTATGACACTCTAGAAAGAGCCAGAAGTACTGCTGAGAAAAGGACACTGACATTAAAAAGAAATAAAACTGATGGCTCTGTATCTCCAGTGGATGGACAAGTAGATACTGCTTGTTCAAACCAGGTCTGCAGGGACACTAACAGTGCAGCCAGGCCTTTGGAAGAAAATGGTGGCATGAAAAGACAGAAAAAAATGAAGAGTTCAAGAAAGATTAGAATGCAGCCACCAGGAAACATTGATGTGAATGTCACTGCTGATACAGCTAAACTGCTTTTGTCATGTCTCTTACCATGGGGTGTAGATCAAGAAATAGACAATCTTTGTGTTAGACACTTAGATATCTTGAGGCTTCAGTGTCCTGTTTCATTTGGACTTGTGTCAGATGAAAACCACCTATCACTAATGTTGCCCGGGTGGAAATGTACAGACAGAGATGTGTTAGAAGAGCACTCAGTAATCAACCTCTTTTCAAAAAGATTGCTTGATTTATCAAACAAGTACCTTGCTGCAACTGAAGGACAAAGTGGAAAGAAGGATGGACCTGAAAATAATGTTTATGGAACAAAGGGATTGGAAACAGTAGTCTTCCTATTCAGCAGAATAGCTATGATCAGCAGGATAATTAACATACCTTCACCAGTTACAGGTGAAATTGGAAGGTAAGAACCTTTTCATTATGAGTCTTTTCTTCCTTGATAGGGATTAAAAAGTGAAAAATGTGAAATACTTTTCTTAAATATGGACTTTTGCAGTAGAGTTTAAATTTGTTCTGTAGAGCTTTTCTATAGAACATTCTTTGAACTGAAGGAGATTGGGATAAAGATAAGTATCTTTATATTTTTCTGTTTAGCAGATGAGAAAACTGATTCTAGGAATTTTTTCAACACAGCAAGGACTTGAATTCTCCAGCTTCACACTGTTTTATCTAGAGATCACTCTTTTCCTTGCAGTTTAAACTAAGTAGAATAATGAGGTCTCTTCAGGCACATTTTGAGATATGCATATTTGTTCTGTTTTAACATCTGCTCCCTCTCTGCAATATCTTTCCTTCACCATGAAGCCCTGAGCTCCACAAGTGAAAAAAACGTGAGAGACAAGAACAGTCTGTCCTAGTTATACTGTCTAAAGTATAGCCCCTTCAGTAATAATGGCAGCTACTGGAATGAATTCCTCATCGGCCCTTACGTTGTGAGAAACATCCCAAAGAATGTTTGTTGCTCAAAACAAATTATTGACTAAATGATTTTTTTCAGCATTAAAAGAAAAATAGGACGTTTGATGTTTTTTGACCAAGTCAAATAGAGCATACTAATCAGGCAATGGATATTGTCCACAGACTTATGTTGTTCAGCAAACCTAGGTTGGTCTGCATTTAGCATTTTAGGGACAATTAACCTCAGTGTTGGTGATACTATAGCCCAGAGGCAAGAAGGGGGTAAAAAAATATTGATCCTGATGTTGCAAATATCTGTGCATCTTCCACAAAGCTCTAGGCATTCGAAGTATCTCAAGAGAACTGCACCATCCTGCAGAACAAGCACAAGTTTCTCAGTTTTACTGCTTTTTTGACATGGTTTGGATTTCCTTTTTTTTTCCAGAGCTGAATAGTGTAGCTATTAATGGTTGTCTTGTAGCTAAGTTTAAGGTTGATGCCATTTCTGATGCCTCTGACATAGATTGTTGCCTTCCAATGCCCTCATCTGGATAAGAGCACTTGAGTTGCATGTGTTCCATTATTGTAATGAATTTGTTTTGTTTTGAGGTGGGTTGTTTTGGGGGTTTTTGTTTTCCTCCTCAGCTTATTGCTTTTGTCTTGAGTTCCTAAGCAGCAACTGCAAATGCTATGGGTCTGTACAGAGGCAACACACAGGTACTGGTCTCTTGAGTTTAAAGAAAAAAGATAAAGCCAGTCTTTTTTAACCATAATTTGAATATTTCACCAAAAATTTATAATACAAAAAAAAAATGTGAAAAGCATGACTTGAGAAAAACTGGAACCCAAGTCTACAAGCTCTTGCTTATAAATTTGTTCATATATCTGTTGTTTTTTTGCAAATTGACCCAGCCTGTAAAAATAAAGGAACCTGCAGTAAAATGTGTCAGATTATAAAAGTGGGACAGGAACAAGCTAGAAAGAGAAGATCTGCAAAGAATTTGTCTTCTGCTTTTTGAGATTTGTATCTGTAACTTAAAGCACTCAAGATGAAAGATTTCAGAGTTGTATAATATCGAGAGGCTTTTGAAATATTATGTCTTACTGTTGACTCTAGTGAATTTGAAAAGTAAAATACATTATTTTAAAATTACACATAAATATAGTTTGTGCAGGGTTGCTATAGGAGTGTAAATAAAAGGTTTTAAGTAGTGCAAGGGTTTGGAGAAGTTTTTCACCACTTTCCCCTTCCTCCATATCCTTTGTCTTCAAGGGTGAGGTTGCTGAGTTAGTCAGTGACAAAGTACCAAGAGCAGTAGATATACACAATAGAATCCTAAATTGTAGCCATATAGTCAAATGCTGAGTATAGTAATTCTGTTCTAAATTACTTAGCACTGTGGAAAGCATGAAGAAATCTAAATATGTTAGTTTCCCTTGAACTTTTTTCCTATGTAATAGAAAAAAAACAAGCACAAGTCCATTCTGAAAGTGGTATTTTTATTCAGTTTTTCACCTATGGCTTCATTAATGCAACACGAAAATTAAGTATAATAAGTATTGAGCCAAATGTAAAGTTCCTGCATACTGATGGTATTTTTCAGTATTTGCATGTGAGGAGAAACCAAATTATGATTGATAGTAATTTATAGCAGTTACTTGCCTTAATCTTACCATAAGACAAGAATTTTGTAGGTGTGTTCAGGTTTTGTTTAATAGTTTAACTTTCTTTTAGTTCACAGAAATCAGAATCTGTACATGACAAATGGAGAAATATAGAAGCAGTAACGCTTTCATTACCCAGTTTTCATGGAGAGTTGCCAAGCAGTAAGTATATGGAGGAGTGGCAATATTAGCTTTTAAGTATAATTTTTCTGTGGGTTGTTTTTTTTTTACTAAAATGCATCCTTTAACTTAATGAAGAACATATATACTTTAGCTTCAAGCTGGTCTGTTTGCAAATAAAGAAACTATTCTGTCTTCTGCAAAAATCACAAAAGATTGTAAACAAAATATTGACTTAAGTAACAATGGAATCAAGGTTATTTTTTCTGTAATGGCAAAACATTCAGCTGAGTTTCTAAAGACATTTTCTAGCAATCTGAAAAACAGAAATGTAATAAAACAAACACTGTCTCTCCCCTCCCCCATCTTCCTTATCTCCATTATGTGGCCACCCAATAATATATATAGGCCTTCAAGCAAACTGTTGCCTTAGCAATACAAGAGTCGTCTTGACTCTTGAATAATGCCCATAGACTGTTGACTTGGGGCAGAATAAAGTAATCTCTTTATGTTCGTGTCCCACAGGCCGTTGTTCACCAATTCTGGCTTTGAAAGCCAGACAAAGTGTATTTTTACAGTAGGCAACTAATCAAAGACTGTTTAAACAAAAACCTAAACAAAATGTAGATATTAGCACACGTGATCTGTCACACATAGTGTACCTTTTATAGACTTAAGTCCCATCCAGATTGATAACACAAATTATTGCAAGTGAAATCTTGATCCTCAGTAAATAAGCCTTAATATCCCCATCTACAATCAGTTTTTCATGTACCTTTCCTTCTCTGACTCTTACACTATCACTGTGGAACTTTTGATGACAGAGGAGAAGTTTGTTGAAATTAGGAGATGGAATATAAAATCAAGCGAAAAAGAAAATAAGTAGATACGAGTTATGGAAATGAGGTAGAGATGACTAAAATGTTCATGAACATAAAAATGGACCTTAAACTTCTAAGGTAATCAAACTCATTCCATATCTCCTAGTTCACACAATTGTTTCAATTTGCAACTTTAAATCTTACCTGATACTTGCAGATCTCAAATATTTTAGGACTGACTGGTTCTTTAACATCAAAGACACACATTAGGCAGCAGAATGAGCAATGTTACAGCTTGACATTTCTGTTTTAGAGTTTACATAGTTGAGTAGTCCAAATCAGAAATTACTCTGAGTATCTTTAGAAAATTATGAAAATAGACTCTGTGGGATATCAGGCCTCTGCTTAAAAAAAAAAAAAGAAAACTGTCATCTGATTTAGGATTAGAATAAATGTTCACACAATGTATTATCTGAACACTTTGTGTTTATTCCATCAGATAAAATAATATTCTAAGAAACTACACTTTTTCAGGGCTCTGCAGGTGTGTTGCTGAGATGAAAAAGTTATAAAAGGTTAAATATCTTTCTTTGTTTATGTCTATATTTATTGCCAGTTCATAAACTGTGTGTTTTTCAGGTAAAAGCAGGTACCATTCCCCAGACTTTGGGAGCACTTCCTTGCTGAAACTCATTTGTTGCTGGAGTGACCAATCTATAAAGGTAGAAAATAGTCTGCATCAGTTGTTATAGTGTGATCCTGAAGTGACATTGGCTGCAATTTAGTATTTGGAATCCATAATGTGACATAATAGTTATGGATTTATAGTGAAATTATTATGTAAATAGAGCTATTGAGATCTATAGAAAGCAGACTGTTATTTCAGGATTAAATATGCTATTCATGAAACTAGTTTGCCTTAAACTTCATGTCTAGATGTGGGAGGGTACTATCTAGTACTACTATTTTTTAATCTAGATGATCTTGTTTATAGCATGTGTTTGAAAAAGTTGGTTACCTGTTCTTTAATAAACAGACATAACTTACCTTGCAAATGTCATATTATGCTCCAGGAAAATGCAGGTCAAAATAAGGGCAGTGTCCTATACCAATGTATTGCAGAAAATGCCTTCTTATGGAGATAAATAATTAATCCCAAGTCCTTACTTATTAGACCACTCTTCAAGAATTACTTAAAAAAGTATGTTGTGGGTTCCCAGGTCAGATGAAGCTCAAGCCCATTGTTAGTGAAGAATCTGATGTTTTGAGAGATAAATTTTTGATTCTTGAGAGTTGACAGGTAACTGTGAAACAGATCAAACAGTGAAACCATTTTGTATTTTGGAAATAAGCATTTAAATTAAGTTTTGTGGTTGCTTCAGGAGTACAAAACTCAAAGCAGTATACTATGACCACAAGGAATTTTACTTCAGAAATGGGAAATGCCTCATAAAAGTTAATTTTATTATTTTACTTTTAAAATTAAACACAATTCAGTGCTGTATTTCAAGTGTGAAGAATATTTTCCAGAACTGAGGTGTGCAGAGATCCTGTGGTGATTCTCCCTGTTCTTTGTGAGTGACAATAACAGTTTCTGCAAATATTCACATTCTATTGAGTACAGCATTTTATCAGCTGTTTATTATATCCCTACTTTCTGCACATCTTCTATATTACCTCAGCATTCTGCTTTCCTCATAAGCTGCCCCCCTTTCTCTCACAAAAATATTTTTTCCTTTTTAAAAATGTTTTTAATTAAAAAACTCTAGTAGAGAACATCAGTTTCAATAGTTGCAATTGCCATATAGGCTGGACTTGATCTCACAGGTCTTTTCTAGCCTCAGTGATTCTGTAAAATCCAAATAAACTCCTGTTGACCTGATCAGCCACCAAATATATTTATAGAGCTGATTTGTGTAGCCATAAAACTTGTGTTTGCAACATAGCTCATTATGTGAGATATATGTATTTGTGTTTTCCAATGCATTTAGTGATTGACCAGTTTATATGAAGAGAATTGTTTTATCTACCATAGGAGGTTTGTGTGCAGGAAGATAAGGTGTGTCGTAGTTGCAATAAGCTTTGTTAACCTGCTTTGTAGTGCAGATTTTGGATTGTTTGCAGCCAAGCTGCCATAAACAATTTAACTTTCAAAATACTTTACAATGTTGGCAATAGGTGTGACTATTCATCAACCAGTGATTTATACAAAGTCATAAGTTTTGTTGAGACTAGGGTGCCTTTATTAAACCTTTTTTTTATACAGACACATTTTTTTTTTTGCCAATTTATTAATCCTGAGCAGAATGATTAAGCACTCATCTACTCAAGCATCACCAGTTACCCTGCTTCTAAAAACTTTTATTTTTATTGTTATTGTCAGTGGAGGATACTGACTCTCAGACGTGACCCAAAGGACTTGCTGTTTATTGATTCCTCATCTCCTTACAGTACTGTAACAGATTCTGTGCAAACAAGCAAGCTGAAAAAAACCCACTGAAATGATTGATCAGGGGTCTACTGACTTGCTGAAGTTGAAGGGCTGACCGAGGTCTTTTTCTGTCTTAAATTTTAAAAGTGCATATATTTTTTTTAGATATTTTTCTAGGTTTTACTTTCCCCAGGTGATTTTAAAGGAAAGGTCATCTTCATGCATTTTGCCTTTCTCTCAAATAAAATATAGCTTGTTGCTGCCATACTCCCATTTCACCTAGAAATTACTTCAGGTGTGCTCCTCTTTTCAGACTTGCCCTGAAACATTTAATGTGAGGAAACAGTGGTTGTATTTCTGTTCTTGATTGTTCTTGGTCTGTATTTAAAATAGCCTGTTCCTCAGTTGTGTCTGTGATAAGTATTTGCTATATGTTAATTGTTTTTAATAATATTATATTCTTGAAGCTTTATGATACCTTTCAGACTGAAAGGGTAAACATTAAGTTAAAACTTTAAAAGTTACCAGAATAGGTAAACTGCAGTGCTATGAAACCATTTTGCCTACTGTTACCTCTAGCAGATAAAAGGATATTTTTCTCCACAGAAAGATTTATTTGATAATTAGTTCCTTGTTCTTCCTGGCTCCTTAGTCTTCAAATGATAGCATATCAATTTATACAGCTTCAGTGTACAACAGGTCCTGATTTGGAAATCCTCCACTGCCATCCTAGTGTTGCAGAATTCCTTTTTGGCTGGCTACGTAGCACAGTCTCCCCTTAGGAAAACAGTCAGTAACACATTTAGGTGGTATAGGTCTCTGACATAATCATCTGCATGAGGAATGTAGTTGCTTGCTTTAACCTCCTTTTTCAACAGTGGAAGACAGACACCATGGAGAGACTGCTGAGATTTTAAGAGGAACGAGTAATCTCAGGGTTTTCTTATCTCCATTTATTATTGCAGAGCACCTGTATTTTTTTCATTTCAGTTACTTCATTTCCATTAATATCTAAAATAAGGTGGGATGAAACTGAAATATCTTACAAAGGACTTTGCTTTCAAAGAATAAACCCCTTGATGTCAAATGGCATTGCAGAGAGTAGTGCTAATAAGTAACTTCACTGATGCCAGAGTTTATGATAATTTCTCTAACAAACTCTGGATACATTTGTTTTAACACCATTTGACTTTACCTGAAGCCAGCTGACTTCAGTAAAAGTGACAAAAAAGTGACAACTCCGCTGTCAATTGCTAACCAGAATTAGAGTACAACAGACTGGATAATACAAGTCTGATGTTCTGATCAGCCTTTTTTGATTTTGCACCCTGATGTGACTGTGCTATGAAGGGGTCTGGGAGGCTGTTTCTGCAAGGCTCAGCCCTGTACAGGTTATGGCCTGAGCAATAACCAGGAGTGATGTCAATTGACTTCTCTCCTCAGACCCACTCATTCTGAAGAGAAGAGTAATCCCTGGAACTAATTGATAAAGTCTCTCCTGGAAACAATAGGTTGATTCTGTCTTTTGAGAAGTCTCTTGTACTTCAGAATGACTGGAACAGTCCTAAGGTTTTGTAGTTGTTGTTTAAAATTTTCAGATGCTTAAATGAATAGCTGAAGTTACCATCCAATACTGATTTGCATTTATGATAGATGATTGAGGCAATGCAAGCAGTGCTGCTGGCAGAAGTTCAGAGGACTCTGAACACCTTGAGACAGACGGAGACCTGCAGAGAGCCCTTGGGAGAAAATGGCACTGGTGAGTTACAGACACTGCCACAAATGAGGGGAGGGATTTGCAACACATTAAACATGTTTCTTTGCTATGTACGTGGAAATACCATGTAGGAGTTATTCTTCTAAAAGAATAACTTTCTCTAGTACTCAGGACAAGTTAGGAGTGTGGGTTCACGAGAGATAATTTCTGTGTAAAACAAGGCAAATGATCTATTTCTGACCTTCTCAGGCCGTGAGTTTCTCCTACGATTGTCAGGGAGAATTTCATGCTTTCTCATAATTTCTGAACATTAAAGAAAAGGTATGATAGTTTGGTTGTGTGATAATTCTAGTATTGCAAATACATCTGCAGTGTTTTTGAAACAGAATCAGGAAATCATTTTGAAAAGAAGTTTTATTAATTTATTTTTTCAATAACATCAGAACTGACACAGAAAAATCAATTGCTTAAATTTTATGACCTCATAATACAGAATATTTTTCTTTTATAAATAACCTCCCTGCAAGAAGATATCAAATGCATTTTACAGTTAGATCATTTCATTTTACAAGAAGCTTACTTTTTGCAACTTTACAATGGTGCTAATGTTTACAGTAATAAAGATGTAATCTGAATTTGTTAAGTTATACTATTTTTTTAGCCCATTAGCTTAGTTTTATAATTAAGTGACCTATATTTTAGATTCAATCTTATTAGTGAATCTTTTCTTGAGAAACTAATTTATAATCTTATTCAGTGTCTGTGTCTGTCATAAAAATTTGTTAGTGATCTGCTTGTTCTAGGGTACTAACAATGATCAGTGATACTTCAGGCCACAAAACAAAATGGTGTCCTTATAATTTGGACTGTTGGAATATGGTGAAACTCAAACAGTTTCAGTAATTATCATATATGAGTTTCTACTTTGCCTATGCTAAAGATTACATTGAATATTTTTATGTGGTTTAAGACAAGATGCATTGTAACTAAAACATCACTAGCTGTAAAGATTGCCTATGGATTTGGTTTCAAAATTTCTGCATGTTCAGGGTGGATTTCAGTGTAGAGTTTGACATGGGTTACAGCAAAAGTGGGGCTAACTGGAAGTTGCAAATTCAGCTCTTTGCAAATTCCGGTTTTGTTCCGTCTTGGGGTTTGTTTCAAAACCTTCTACACTAGAGGAAAAACCTTTCTGTGATGTAGAGTGCTGGCATATCACAAGAGTCTAGTAGTCAATGGTTGTTTAATTCTTAGCTTGTGTGAGCTTTAATACTTAATTATTAATTCAGGGGAGTTATTTTAGCTTTCTGCCCATTGAAATAGGGGATTTAGTTGTTCGTGCATCTAGTAAAGGTTTTTTACTGTCATTTCGGTTTTAACCTTATTATTTGAAGGTTATTCAACAACTAGAAAATTGCTTTGCTAGAACAAGCACAGCATTTGTATGCATTTATACTAGCTAGAACTTTAATACTTTATTATGTGAGCTACATAAATACATCCTGTAAAGCAGCTAGGATTTTTTGACATATCAGTATTGAGCAACGGAATAGGCAGAAGACATATATAAAGAGAGAGAAAGCGATGTTACACTGAGAGTATTTAATACTGTATTAGTTTTGTTCTAATTTCCATTCTTGGTTTTGCTTGTTACATTATTCATTGCAGTATGTAAATAGCACTGATATTCATGTTTTGGTTTGTATGATTTTCTAATAAGTACTGAAAAAATTGGTGGGTTTATTCAGAATTGAACACATTTTGTGATTTCTACTATGTTACAGAGTAAAAACTATTTGTGGCATATGATAATATGCAGAAATTATTAAAAACCCAGCCAGGAGCAAGTCCACAATCAGTGTAATTACTGAGACAAGTAATTATGTCTGGCCACAGTCATTTGTCTGATAGGTGTGTTGTCTTATTAAATACTCTGTATTTAGTGGTTGTAAAGTAGCTGTCATCTTGTGCCACATCAAGATAAAAGTTAAATATTGTTTCAGGTTTTAAAGTCAGAATTTAAGCCTGGGATTGTGCACTGTGACCAAGATCAGAATCTTGGCTGCCATCATCATTGTGTTGTAAGGATTTTTTAAATTGAAATTAATTTATTTTATCTGGCCATGTTTAATTGTGTTTAATTCAACAAATTTCTATTGAAGTAAATAGAAGTGGGTTGTGTTGGAGTTTTGTTTTGGTTTTGTTGTGTTTTGTATTTTTTTGTTTAAAGATATAACTTTCAGGATTTGACCTTCAGTTTCTATTATCTTCAATGTTTATAGTATATTAAATAGTTGTTTTTTCATAAAGCTTCTTATTCCTTAGGAAGTTTTGGCATCCTTACTTCATGGTTTTGGGTAATAATATTTAGGCAAAAGCTTTGCTTGCTGAATAATTTAAAATGTCATGTTTTTCTCTGTGGTTCCACACAGACAGAATTGTTTAACTGAATTTTAGAAAGAAACCTCAAGCTAAATATAATTTTCAGAAACAAAGATAAGTAATTTTAAAAAGCTAATCATGTAAACCATGCAGAGAAAGGGTTAAACGTGTTCTGTCCTAGTACATTCTCCTATTGTTGTTAAAAGGAAATACAAATGCAAACAGTTGCAGTTTCTTTATGTTAATGTCAGAGATTATGATTTTGGAGCTGTTCCAAACATACTGATAGCAATCTTACCATTGATTTCTGCAAGCTTTGCTTCAGCTCTTAAATGAAGCTGAGGTTTTCCCTAATTTTTTTGACATTTATCATAATTCTGAAAAAGTACATTGTGCTTTATCCCTTCTTGCCTTTTCTCTAAACACCAATGATTTCAGGTTAATTGTACCACTTAGCATTTTCAGTGTGGTGTTGTTTTCCACTGCCATGTGAGTCAGAGGCAGTGATTTCAAAACCTTAAGAACCTGTTTACAAACTTTTCCTTGTGTAAACGTAGAGGAACTAGGTTTACTGCCATTCTCCATTTGTTTTTATTTTCAGTATTTGATCATAGGTCTTACATGCCCAGTCCATACCCAGCCATGTGCAGAACTTCTTTGATCAGAGGAAAGACTGTGGTAGCACCACTGCTCTCATTTGCCCAGTGGTTAGATACAAAGAAATTGTATAGTTCTTCCTGCAGCTGATTTGAAGCCATATCTTCCTCAACAGTAATTCATTGTATATCCCCAAGGTATTCTGCAGTGACTCATCTATAGAAATTCTTCATGTTTCATGGAAATTTCAAAATATTTGCAAGGATAAGAGTTAAAAATGAGATTCCCTCATTGCCAGGTGTTACATGTAGGACTTTGATAGCCTTGTAGCTACTGCTCTGAAGCAGTTTCCTATGTCTCATCTTGTAACGTATGTCTCTTGAGTATGTAACAATAGGACAAGGGCTAATGGTTTTAAGCTAAAAAAAGGGTAGATTTCGGTTGGACATTAAGAAGAAGTTCTTAAACATGAGGATGGTGGGTCACTGGAACAGGTTGCCTAGAGAGGTGGTGGAGGCCCCATCCCTGGAGACATTCAAGGTCAGGATTAATTGGGTTCTGAGCAATCTGTTCTAGTTGGAGACATCCCTGCTTATGGAAGGGGGATGGCCTTGTAGGATGACATTTAGAAGTCCTTTCCAATCCAAGACATTCTATGATCTTTGGATGTCTTTTTCTTCTAATGTATAGGGAGCCAAAACTATATTACCTGAAACAGCAATACAGCACACCACTTCTGGTATTGTGCCTCAATTCTTTTGTAAAATGTGAAGAGCTGGATTTATTTGCTTTTTTAAGAAAATGCTGAGCATAAGTTTGTTTAAGATGTTCATGCTCAGGTACTAAATTGAGGAACTGATGTATGTGACATTTCAGTAATGCTAAAAACAAGTGAAGGAAAACCATGAAGTACAGGCCTTATTTCTTAATACGGAGTATTATTTTAATTGCCTCTTAGATTTGTGAAAAATCACACCACTAAGACTAGCTTGCAATAAATTCTGGTTTGCACTTAAAAATTTCTAGTTTAAGAAACTGCTAATGATTCAAGCTTTTAAGTATATTTGAAAGCTATTAGCTATAACCTCATCTTTTGTGTGTGGTTTTGGAGCTCTTTAAACTATTCAATTAAATAAATTGGTTCTTGCAGTAAAAAAGCTTCTGCTGATAAATACCAGAGTGAAATTAATGGTGGCAATTGAATTCCATAGGTTAGTGTAAAGAATTGTCAGACTTATCTAGAATATAACAATATGTGTTGTTAAAATGAGGAATCCATTCAGTAATGGTAAATCAATGAAAGGCGGGATATAACAGCTTCTGTTCACTAGGAAAGTGTAGTGACCTGCAGCAGAGGATTTCAAACACTTCTATTGTCTGGGTCTCAGAAATCTGTCCAGTTGCAGACAACTTTTTTTTTTTATGTCAACTCTCAGGAAGTAATTCTGTGACAGTGTCTTTCTGTGTAGCAAATTAATCTTCTTTCTTTCCTGCCTGCAAAGTCTTAAGGTTTTGTCAAGGAAGTGCAGATAAGAAGGAGGGTTGTTCTATTTCTGATTTCTTCTTTCGTATTGTCATCTTGTTACAAGCTGCAGCTTTTTCATGTTAGTCCAAATACACATTTTGACTTGTATTTAAACAAGCAAAAAACACCCCAAACCCAGCTGTAATTCTTAGTGTTGGTTTATTTGCACCATTGATACCACAAAGATTACACAGGGATTCAATGATGGTTTATCTTTGGTTTCCTGATTGCTGGGGAAATAACTTTTAGGGGAGTAAAATGCATGAATGCTTTTATTTACTGTAACAACTTGGATTTAAATTGTATTTCTCGTGTTCTGATGAAATGCTACATACCCAGAGAACTTGAACAACGTCTGAGGAATCAATTTCTGGCTTAAAATTTTACATTCAGATAAGTGTACATATATCCTCATATCCTTAAATTTCCCTTATGCACTGGTTTCAAGTTTGGATTTTGGCTTGTGACGTGTATTCAGTCCTTGAAACTGCTTGCCTTGCTGTGACTGGATTCCATACCCAACAAGAATCAAGTCATT